AAATACATTTAGTTATTGTAAAATTAAACGGCAAAAATAAAAAAAAAATAAGATAAAATACTGTTAAAACAACGTTAAGGCGAGTTTCCACTCATCCGTTTTTTTACGGGAACGGGAAAGGGACGGGAAAAATAATCACGTGGGCATGCGTAGTATAAGTTTTAATATTTCCGAAGGAAAACTACGCATGCTCACGTGATTATTTTTCCCTATCCTATCCCGTTCCCGTGAAAAAAAACGGATGAGTGGAAACTCACCTTAAATGTAAAAATGAGCTGTTGCTATTCAAAATTCAGTACCATAGTAACCAAGTTAAAACATATATAAAATCTGAACGGGGATTTAAGGGGACGAGCAATCAATTAATATTTGATTGAAGCATCATATAGCTTAAATACATATATATAAGACAGCACACGTCAAATTATGGTAATTATTAGTTATAGTGCGGCAAAAAATAAATTTCTTAAAGATTTTTTTTTAAACTCTGATTTTCAAAGTATAACTGAAATAACATGAGATATTTTTTTTACACATTGGTTTTTCTTATCTCTAAATACTCAAGAATAACATGCACTAATTATTTGTTTCGTAGATATGATTGAGAAATAACACAGCGTTAATGTCATAATAAATTACTTATTTATTGATTTTTTTAATTTTAATATTCAAATGCTTAGAGTCCTGGTAATTAAGGCATTTAATAAAAATAAATTATCAATAAATTTTACCTAATATATGTAGATTCTAAAATTATATAATCTTTCAAGATTAAACATTTAAATTTTTTTCCATTTTGTCCACCAACTGGCCCGTTGTGCTTCGTTTTAAACATAAGTAGCATCACTTGATAAATGTTAACTTTATAAATATTTAAAGCTCCAAGTTTATTGTTATTTTAAATTACTATAGGGTAACTTAATGTTAATTTGCCAATCAATTAATAGTCCTCGTTCTTAGATGATCCGTAAATATAGAAATATCTCTTAATGAAAATTGGTTGATTTTTGGTACTCAATTGGCCAATATCAAACCATAGTTTGAAATTGGCAAATTTAGTACCAAAAATCAACCAATTTTTTTTCGCTACTTGTAGTTTTAGCCAAAAACATTTCACCGACATTATTTTTTGATAAAAATTTGAAAGACGTATTTAAAAAATAATTGATATTCAAATAATAAATCTTCTTAAAAGTATAACAAACTATATTTCAATAAAAAGCTAAACAAAAAATCATTTAACAAAAAATAATTTTTTGCCACAAATCATTTAACAAAAAAATAATTTTTTGCCACAAAACATTAAGTCAACTTCAAAAAGGGACTTCCGAGCAATGAGTGGATGTCTTTGACTAAGCAACTTCATGAACATAGCTTTACTCTGCGAAACCTGAGGGTAATGCTTTAGTTTGATAACACTGCATAAATAACTAAAAATTCCTAAAGTCTTTCAGTGCCTTGATTGACGTGATGCCGAAGAATGGTTTGAAAACCATTCTTCGCCATCACGTCAAAACTGGTCACCAACTTGACCAAAAATCAATAAAGCCGAAAAATCAATAAAACTGGTCACTAACTTGACAAAAAATCAATAAAGGTGGTTGCACAAAAAGTTCCAAAAAACTTTCTATAACAAGTACAAGTTAAAATCAAGAGATAATCACTGTTATTGCATGGGGCAAATGCACAGGGATTTTTCATTTCACCAGTAAAAAGAAAGACATCCAGGTCTTTATTGGGTTTTAACAAAGAGCCAGCACCATAGTGATCAAATTTGAGCTTGTCCGATAGTAGTTGGGCTAAACAGGTTCTAGCAAAGCTATGGTTTACAAAGACATTTTTAGAAAACATTGATTCACAACGTCCTCAGTTAATGATTCTGGATAAGCACGATTCTAACAACTACATTTAGTTAGTTTATATTACTATCCAGAACCAGATAAACTAATTTAAATTACCTTCACACACAACAAACTGCTTTCATCCATGCAATCGCACTTTATTCAAGCTAATGAAGGATTATTAATGCCCACTGCACAAGATTTGATGGATCAATTATGGTTATAGTTATGGTTGTTTATATAATACTCATTGTAATATGTATATGTTATTGTAATAAATCTCAAAACAATTAAATTAAGAGTTAGTAGTTATATATTTAAAAAAGAGAACACAACACTTGGCGACGAAAATAAAACCGTGTAATTAGTCCGTTGATAGTGGATTAGTCTGTCCGTTGCCTATAAATGTGAATTGCTACAATAATTAGGATAAGTGTAAGAAGAACAACTAACTCAATACAGAAAATAAACTAAAAAAATAAGGACTAATAATAAATTAAAGTTACTTAAACCACAAGTTTCTGCTTTTCTTAATTAATCTTTAGTTAAGTATTTTTTCTTAATTAAAAAACAAATTTTATAAAATACATTATCTTTGCTTTTTTTTCTGTGTTTAAAATCTTTTTCAGAACAAGAATATCTTTATGTTTATGCTAATTATTCTAAAGTTCTACATAGTGTAAGATTTAAATAGTATCATATTAAGTTGTTTTTCTTAGAATAACCGATATGTTTTAGAGGTTTGTGATAAAAGTAACATTCAAAATATAGTGTAAACTATCTTGTTATGAATTCAGTATTAACTGATTCAGTATATAAAAACATATGGATTTAAAACAATATCTAAATTTTGCCTAAGTTATATTTATACATGTTTAAGACGTCTTTTTTAGACCAAATGTTTACTGGGAAGACACTCTCTACCCAAAATTGCATCACAAAGCTAGTTGCATCCCTGTCTAGTGGTTGAATTTAATTTTTAACCTCTAAATTATATTCCCTGACCAGGAAGTACCCAAAAATTTGCATAACAAATTGTTTTTAGCAAATAAATAGTTTTGGCCGTTCTCTGACATCTTTTTTAGGTACTGTGCGCAGCGGCAAGTTTTGGATTCTTGTTTACTTAACAGCCGGTTTGGATCTTTTTGTATGCTTGCTCGCAAATTTTTTTGTATAAACCGAACAGACGTATGGCTTACTTCTCTTTAGGCTTTTGTCTTTTCTTTGTGCCGCAGTAATGTAGTCTCTGATTGTGTTATCAAAAATAACGCAGTCTTTTTTATTCTAGTTAGTTTTCTTTATTCTAGAGTTTAATAGTAAACTCTTGAAATATGAAATTATGAAATATTAATTAAAAACATTTAAAATAAGTAATGTTGTAGTTTTTAAGTTTATAGATTTTAAAAACTTGAAGATGTTGATGAATAATTATTATTATATACCAAAGTTATTGTTAAAACAATCTTAATAACATACCTAGGACCACGTTGCGGTGTCACAAGAAATTTTACTGCTAGGAAATTCTGCGGTTGCGGCATAATTACCTAGGAAAATATGCTGCTCAGCTGTATTATATCCTAAGAAAAACTGCCGCTCGCAGGAAAGTTTGCTGCTTTTTTTCTCTTAACCTTTCTTGATATCATTTTATAAATATGGACAACGAAGAATACAACAATCTTGTCGATTTAGTTGTCAGAGGAATATAGCCTCAAGGCATCGATAAGATTAACAAAGATGGGTTAAGAAGAAAGTCCAAAAGATATTTGGTAAAAAATGGCCTTATTTTTTACTACGATAAAAAAAGAAACATGGATCTCCTAGTAGTTCTAACAAGTCAAAAACCTATGATTTTCTAAGACTGTCAATCTGCAATTCTTGGTGGTGGTCACTTTGGTCAAGATAAAACATTAGAAAAACTCTCAAAGAGGTACTACTGGAAAGGGATGATAAATAATGTGAAGAAGTTTTGTAAATATTATGATAAACAGGTATGTTTGTTAAATAACTTACCTTTTTATATACTAAAGTTTATTATTTAATAATTACTTAAAACAATAACAACAATGATAATTGTAATTTATAATACTACAGGTATTATTAATAATCCTTATAGGTATTATAGGTATTATTAATAATATAGGTATTAGAGGCATTATTATTAATAACTTAGATAATATATTATCTAAGTAATAACAAAAATTAAACATACTTGTAAAATGTTTTTAAATAATTTAAATTAATAAATACTTTTTAACTAAAATTATAATTTGTAACTAACCTTAAAATATGCATAATTTCTATTTTTTCTTTCATAATATACTTTATAGAGCATTTGAAAAACACTCAACTGAATTACATCCTATTAAAGTTAAAAATGAAGTATGCAGTACAGTTGGAATTGATTTAATTGGACTTCTTCTTTTAACAGAAAAAGGAAACAAGTACATCATAACAGCAACCTTTTTATTCTCCAAGTGATCTGAAGCTTCCTATCTGATAAAACAGCTACAAGTGCAGCAGAGTTCTTGTATACATGCTTTACAAGACATGGTAGTAGTGAAGTTCAGACAAGTGATAATGGAAGTGAGTTTGTTAATTTTATTTGTTAACCATGAGGTACTGTGTTGGATTTTGTTTATTTAACTTTTTTTTTTTTTCTTTTTTTTTTTTGTAAATTTTTAGTTTTCATTGCGTTTTTGGAAAATACTTTATTTTTTATGTAACTTTTATGATTCTAAATTTTGATAAGTTGATATATCATAATTAGATGCGAAGAGTGAATAAAGTATAAGTCAGAATTTTTACAACTTTAGAAATTGTTCATTTAAATTGATAAACAAAATGAGAGTCAAAAAAACAACAGTTAATTAGCCTCATCTGCAATGCTTATATAAAAAACATTTTTTTAGGCTCTGTCAATATTTTGCACAACAAAAATGTTTTATGCCAAAACTTGCTAAACCTAATTCTTTTATTAACTAATTTTTATTTATTGGATTATGTTATACTTGTTTATTATTTAATGCAAACCCTATACAAGCATTTTTTACAGGCCATTTTATAATGAGTCTATTTTCTTATATTATTTCAAAATATTGAAAAAGCTTAGAACGCCAAAAAAAAGGATATGATGCCAAACATTGTTCAGAAAACTAATTATTTAAAGTTAGCACTTATGATACATAATATATATTTTTAGGTTAAACTCATAGTAAAATTGTAAATACAAACAACATATAAGCTTAATACTAACTAAATTTATTATAGTAAAATATTTTATAACTTATACATAAAAAAAAAACTTGATAAAATAAAAATAACGTTTTTTTCAATATTCAGTTCCTATTGTTTTGATACCAATAAACTTTTTCCTCGTTTTTCTGAATCGGTCTGAAGTTATCACACATTAAATTATTCTGATTATTTGACCTATCCATGCCTGAGCGAAGTTTTCGTAATGTTTGCAACTAAAAAATGATTAATTAAACACGTATTAAGTCGTTTGAACATATTTAAATAAAAAAAATTAAAACTATTTTTTTAATAATTAAACAATTAAGTTGTTTATAAATATTGCATTTTTATTTGAAAAGTTACTAACATAATATTTTGTTAAAGCTAAAATAAAACTTACAAATTTAGCTGGCACTTTAAGTTTACTATCAGCTATAACAAACCAATTTGCATTTGAACAGGGCGGTGTTGTTAAAGAACCACGATATTTATAAAAACTACGGAGTCCAATATTAATGTCATTTGGTAAAAGACCGCCGAGGAGAAGTTCCACATCATCTGTAATTTTAACTACGCCTAAATGAATAAAACATCAAACATAAATTTATTATGTTTGTTTGCTCATTTGGCCGTTTAATCATATTTATGATTTAAATATTTAAGTATATAAAAATAAATAAATTGGCGGGGCAAGATTAATTAGCCTTTTAAGTATACCCAATTTGTACCTTTTTACAAAAATCTTTGCATAAAAATGTGTATGTATACAAATATGTTCTGTAACTCACCCGCAAAAGAATTATACTCAATCATTTTTTTTTTAAATACCATTTTACTTTTAGGTAATATCTTTGTTGAGTGTCCATTCACTTAAATTGACCATAACTCAGGCATTTTTTTATATAAACGCCTTTAATTATTACCTGTTCAATAAGATGTCGCAATTTTTTTATGATTTTAACAATGCTGAAGTGATTGGTTTTTCTTCTTATTTATCAAAAATAAAATGGGACTACAAGTTTTCTTATGTTTTCACAGAAAAAGAATATTGAAATAACTTTTCAGCTCATTTTCGTATTGGTATTGAATTTTTTGTCCCAGTTAGAATAATACATCATTGCGTAAAAGAAGAATTTCTATTCTAAATATATTTATAAAATGCTAGTTTGCAAAACAATTTTATGAAAACAAAGGTGGAATACCAAGACTAATTTACATAAAATGGCTAATAAAATCGGATATTTACCTAAAACAAGTAGTTTTATCAATAATTATACTAACATTAAGGTTCTAGATTTTACGGCAAAAACCAGCAACCGACTTAAAAAACTAAAACCTAGCACTTTGCTAAAGCGAAAGTTCTTTAAAGTTCTTGAATGTAAAGTAAAGTTCTCCAAAGCGCAATAATTGTTTTTCGCTTTCGTTTATATTTAAAACAAGTTTAAAGTGAAGTACTTTGCCTAAACAGTGGCTTCAAGCCATGGTTTTCCCCATTTTTATAAAAGGATCTACGTCAGATGCCAAGCTGTCGCGTCATGGAAAGTATTATTAACTCATAAATTGCAGATTATCTACACAGCAAAATCCAAGATTCTAGGTTAAGAACTTTTGTTCTTATTTTAAGAACTTTTGTACTTATTTTAAGAACTTGATTCTTATTTTAAGAACCTGATTTTATTTTAAGAACCTGATTCTTGTTTTAAGAACTTGATTCTTATTTTAAGAACCTGACTGTTATTTTAAGAACTTGATTCTTGTTTTAAGAACTTGAATCTTATTTTAAGAACTTGATTCTTTTTTCAGATTTCCATGGAAAAAGAATCAAGTTCTTAAAATCTTGATTCTTTTTTCGCCATGTTTAAAGTTCGATTATCCGCATAATTATAATAAACTCAACACTAAAAATCAAATTTTTAAAGATGTTAAAGACATTAGGAAATAATAAAATGCGAAAAAAAAAATTCACAAGAAAATCGCTATAATACTAGCTAGTCACTATAGTGACTAGCTAGTATTATAGCGTTGGGAAATGAGCTAGTACTAGCTCATTCTCCAGGTTGAATATCTAAATTAAAATTATTAACATACGTTCCAAAACAGTCCGGGAAAACTTTTTGACCGATATAAAAATAAATTTTTTTAAAGTATGTATAACTTTTTAAAAAGTATATATACTTTTTTAAAAAGTATATATAACTTTTTAAAAAATATATATAACTTTTTGGCCGATAAAGTATTTTATCAGCAAAATGTTAACTTAAAAAAGCATAAAAATTATGACTTATAAAGGTCGCCTATTTGCTGAATCAGAAATTCAGAACTTCATAAATGAGCTAGAAAACAGTGAAAATGAAGATTATGAAGATGATTAGTGCCATTAATGTTTATCAAAAGCGAAGTTACAAAAAGTCTAGATTTTGAAGAGATTCTAAATCAATTTTTAGATGAAAAATCAAAGGAAAAAAATACACTAATTTAGATACATGTAAGTTTTAACTGTCTAAGTTTATTTTATATTTTAAATGTTTCTTGTAGTTACAGAAGTACTTAAAATTTTATTTAAGTGAACTTACATGTGAATCTTTAACTTGAAAAAGGGGACATGTCCTGCAAAAATTCACATAATATGTCCTCTTTTTCAAGTTAAGCTAACTTGTTTAACACTACCATAGAAAATTAAATACTAGTTCAAACTTTTGAAATGAATAAAAATATTAAATTAGCAATAAATATAATTAAGCAGAATATATGAATCGCTAACAGTTAGTTTGAATTAGAATTTAATTTTCCATGGTAATGTTATTTTTTATTAAAACAAATTTATTATTTATTTTTGGATTATTATTTATGGATTATTGCTCTGAGATATTTTAAAAAACTTCAATTTTTTTTTATGATTGATTTCTGCTAAATAACTAAAAGTTAAGTAGTTTTAAACTTATATTCATTTATTTCCAAAAAGTTAATTTCCCCAAAACTTCAATATTTTTGATTACATTTTACAGTATGATATTAAGAGTGCTCGAAGCGAAATCCGTGCTATTTTAAAAACATGTAAAAAAAAACAATGCCTTTTTAACTGATGTTTTTCTGAAATAAAACATTTTAAAATACAGAATTTTTTTTTCTAAATATAAAATATTTTTACAATTTTTATACAGATACTCTTCTTGGTGGCTGCGACGTCTGATTTCAAAAGCTGTTAACCCGGGTTAATTTCTGGGTAGCTGGTCATAGGTCAACTCAAACTTTCTTTCCTCAGGGTTAAATAAATGAGGACAAATTTATTTGTTCACATAATTTTTCGAAAATTATGTGAACGAATAAACTTCTTCAAAATTTGTGCACTTCTTTATAATAAATGAATTTAACAAAAATGAATAAACTGCCGAGCGATGAAACAAGGAGTTTTAAGTCGCTAAAGACTCTGCCACTTCTGCCTACCCCTACTCCCCCCCCCCCCAAGCTGTCATTAAAGCCCCAAAATCTTAAAAACCTATAATTATGCACAGTCAATTACAAGCGTTATGTTTTTGAACATATGTTAAAAAAGTTCATAGGAAATTTCAGAGATTTTAAAATGGCTGTGGCTCTTAGCTACATAATCTTTTTTGTATAGCTTTTTTTTTTTTATTTTTTGTTTTGGAAAAAATAATGCTGCAACTTGTTTATTAAATTCGTGATGGAGTATTCGGACCAAAGGTTATTTGTAGTGTTCAAACCTAGTACCCATTTTTTCATAAATGAAATAACATTAATAAAACTGCATTTAACCAGCAATATATTTTTGACTTTGTGAAAAAGCTAAAAAGAAACAAAAATTTAATGACTTAACTTGCTATGGGAAAAATTGGGTATACCGTCCGTGATTATAGTTGAGTAAATTGATTTCTATTCTTTTTCGAACGAACAATATGCCTCACTCTTTAATAAATTCATTTTATGATCATCCGGTAAAAAAACATTGTAACTTTTCTATTAGTTATCTTTTAAATATTATTACAACTTATTTTTAAAATTTTTTACAACTAAATGGATTTTTTATAAATGACCTTTTTATATTACATTTGTGTTGTCTCATACACTGTAATGCCCGGGGCAAATTATTTTAATTGCCTCTTCATTTTGGCGGCCCTAGCAGTACCTATAGTTACTTTTAAAAATCTTTTGAAAACAATAACTGTACACACTTCACATGATCGCCAAATGCCGTTTTTCAAACTTTGTTGAAACTTTGAGAATCAACTTTGTTTTACACGTTGCTTTTTTTTAACTTTTTGATTTGACATTTTTTATATAAAAATAGAAATTGTGATTAGCTAATTTAAAAACAAGTTCTTGCTTCATAAAGATTGTAAATAGTATATATAATAACTTGCATGTGTAATGATAACATTGTAAAATGTGAACATGTTGACATAATAAAAAATAATAATAAAAAAAAAAAAGATCAAATCACTTTCAACACTTTTTGAGCAAGCGTCTAAAAAAAAATTACTTATAACAATTGCATTCATGCTGAATGAAGCATCGTCTGTATAGTTGCATTCATGCTAAATCAAGCAACCTCTGTATAGTTGCTTTCATGCTGATTCAAACGACCTCTGTATAGTTGCATT